TGTTTTCCTCTCTTTAGCTCCTGTCTTGTGGACTTCTGGATAAGCTCAAGTTCAGTGTTTTGGAACTGCAAGAATATCTGGACACCTACAACAACAGAAAAGAGGCCACTCTCTCGGTAAGCTCTTACATTTCTGTGCGTGAAAGAAATTGGGGAACGTGAGTATCTGCCTAATGTCACTTTATCAACGTTATAACTTTTCTTTCCTCAGAAATTAAAAATTGTTCATTACTTCCTTCCAGGGTTAGCCTCACCCAAAACTAGTTGAGGTGGATCCCGGCTGTCTCCTCCTCTTGGTAGCTGTTTCTCGCTGATGCCATGGCTTCTCTTGGTCTTAGCTCCTGCTCTTTACTTTTTCCTCCCTTCAAAGATCTAAACTGTAAAATATTAGAGACAGAGGTGGTCCAGTGGGGGGAGGGTATAGCTCGAGTGTAAAGCACATGCTCAGCACCCAAGAGGTCCTGAGTTCAATCCCCAGTACCTCCTCCAAGCAGAAATCAACGAAGAAGCCTAATCACCTCCCCCGTGTAAAACAATACAAGAAGTGGTCCAGAAACCATCCATGCAAACCCCCGATCCATGATGCAAATAATCATGTGGAATTTCTAGGGAGCACTGCCTGTCATATACTGAGCACTATAAAAAGAGCATGGATTTTGAAGTCAGATGGACTGGAGTTCAGATTGCAGCTCGGCCAGTTAAGGATGAGTGACCTTGAATAAGTTGCTGACCGTCTCGTCTCAGGTTCACCATCTGCGAGGCAGTGATAATAGTAATTAACTTGCAGAACTGTTGTAAGGATATAACCATCATCACAGTCCCAGCCCCTGTCATCTCCTGAGTTCCCTTCTATGCGCCCAACAACCTGATAAGAGTTACATCTCTTATATTAAATCGTGTAACACTTACAACTACCCTGGGAGCTGCTACTATTATTCTCGTTAGCTGGGAGGTAGAAGAGTAGTATTGAAACCCAGGTCTGTGGGATTTAAAGGTCCATGCTCTTAACCACAACACAATACTGCCTTTAAAATAGAAATAATATATGTAAACTACCCAGCACAAGTGCCTCCTACACAGAAAACGTTCACTGTAAAGTTCCTGGGCTTTTGTTTATTGTTACTGTCATTACTTAGCTCGTGACCTGTCAAAGGGAGAGAGTTCTGACTTCCTGCTGCAACTGTCCCCTTTGTCTTCTCTTTCTGTGGCTCTTTTGCTGTCATTGTTTTCCAGCTTCTCAGTCATCAGTTCATAAAAGTAATCCTTTCATTCTGGGTGGTGAACGAGCCAGTCTTCCGACGTCAAGTGTGAATTTTAGTTCTTCAGTGCCTGCTGTCTTCTGCCCAGAGGTTCCTTTCACATCTGTATTAGTTACTAACCCAGATACTTAAGACTGGCAGAATCTCTAAGCAGCTGGGCTATTATTATAATATTATATTATTATATATTATAATATATTACATTATAATATATTATTATTATAGCCCTTCTTACGGTGAACTCCATAGAAGCCATGCAATACAACAGAGAGGAAGGGGCTCCAGGAGTTGGGTTGCATTGTCCAGGACTACCCAGCCTGTGAGGAAGTGTAGGTCCCACCTCCTAATCCCAATCTTATGAAAGGTTTCTAACCATCTGTGACTTTGTTTTAGTTTATACATAAGTTAGGAATGGTCTGGTGAAACCATTCTTCAAGGTGATGCATCACAGTGTTGAAATTATAAATGTTGAAATTTTTTAATAACCATCGCTGAACCCATAGAAACAGGTATTTTTATTCCAAATTGTTAATCTTTAACCAAAAATTTTTTTCAAAAAGTCATTTTAGCCGAATTTTGTTCCACTGTGATTAGAAGCATAAGCTATCTTCCCCGACAGAATTGACGGTAAAAGTGCTCTTAGGACATCACTGTATTTACCTGCGTCTGTTTCTCTCTCTAACAGTGGCTTGCAAATTGTAAGGCAACATTTGCAGGAGGATCAAGAGATGGAGTCATTACCTGTCAGCCAGGGGACTCAGAAGAAAAGGTAATAATAAAAGCCCGTTGGAATTTACCTTTTCTGTGCTCTGACTTGGTGTGTTCATTCTGATCCACCCAAGAAGCGTGGAGCTTGAAAAAGGAAGAGGCAGAATGAGTCTTACCATACATTCACGTGACACCTGTAGAGTAAGACAGAATGACATTCAACAAGCATGACTGTGTGTTGATGGGGTCTGGGGTGGGTTCTTCCTTTTGGAAAAGCAGACGTGTACAAATAACCTTCCTGCTGGACACTAACTATACTAACCGTTTCCTAATAAACCTATTCTTCGTTCAGAATATAAAGGCAAATGTCATTAATTCTTCACTACACCACTTAGTTCCTTCCTTCAATGAAGAAAGGCTTTATTGACCTTCCAGCAATCACTCAAAAGAAGTTCTAAACGAGAAAAAAAAAATCGGTTTCAAAGTACACACCTCAGACCAGTTGGCTTGTAGATGTCTGCCATACTGTAAAGGCAACTGGGCAGAAAAGTGTGAACAGATTAAAATCATTCCTTCTGCAGTTGCTCCCGTGCGGCCCCCATGGTGGATACACTCATGAATTCTGCTCTGGTGGAGCTTCTGATCTGTTCAGGGAGACAGACATTAATCAAAGAGTCATACGTGGTGTAAACTGTTAAGTGCCGTTAAGGAAAGGACAGAACAGTAGGCATGAAAGAATATAGCAAGAGAACCTGACCCCGTGGGCGGGCGGTTCTGGGACGGCTTCTCCACAGACATGCTGTCTAAGCAGAGATCTCAGCCACGAGCTAGAGCTCGCCAGGTGAAGGGGTGGGTGGAGAGCCTGTGTCAAGGCCCCCAGGCAGGAGTATGGAAAGTGATGATGGGAGAAAAAGTGGAGCAGAGTCTGGGGAGGCTGGCAGAAGCCAGACCATGCAGGGCTGGGGTGCGAACCTTAGCAGCAGTGGTAAGTAATTCCATGTTTTACCAGGTGGTTGTGATTCCATCTCCCCTGGAAATGGACTGAAGTGGACAAGAGTGGATTTGAGAGGATGAGTTAGGAGGCTACTGACCGGTCAAAGCAGAGAAGGTGGTGGCACCTTGGGATTACAGGGTCACACCTAGAAAAGCAGGTCAAACTGTGCATCCTTCAGAGTATGAGAAAGCACCTTCAGGGCTGGCCCTGAGGAGAAATGACAGTGTCACTCCATTCAAGTATGGCTCTCATGTCCAGAGTTGGTAGAGATATTTCTACCATTTGGCTCCCATTCCAAAACAAAACCCAACAAGTGTTTGACCTCAGAGCACGGCTTACCCTCCAGTGATTCACTCCAGCTCTCTTTTTTGTCAGATTCTCTGTCTTCTGGATGAGTTTGATGTTGCCAGTTATTCTGAGCATCCTTTGTGTGGGGACAAATGGAAGGCAGACAGGAAATGAGCTTTAATTCAAAGAATCTGTGTCTGGACATAAATTGCAAAGCTAACATGCCCAAAATGATTCCACATGTACATTCTAGTTCAGGGAAGTGTGGACTTTATGGAAGGATTAGTACTCAGCTTATTAAACCTAGCAACGTAAACCCTTGAGCAGTTGGAGACGTCAGTCGGCCAGAGCGAGTGACCACGTAGACAGGCACGTGGCATCTTCCCACCCCGAGCCCTGCCCCATCTGGTCTGGTCTTTGCCCGTAGCTGATTTCTAGTCATTCTTAACAGGTGACATAAGTGAGAAATGGCTATCATACTGTTTGCAGAAAAGGATATCGCTCTTTGCTGGGTGTTGAACATTTGTTTTCTGATTTTTCTTCTGTTGTCAACAGGAAGTTGTAGACATCAAATTAGTGAGGAAGGTGACACACTGGTGGCCTATAAGCTGTAAGCAATTCACAGATGTGTTTTATTTAGCTTGTACAATTTTTTAATTGACCCAACATTTAAAAATTAAAATTGTTCATACATACACTCAAAACAGCATTTCTGGCATCTCTTTCAAAAAAAAAAAGAGCTAGCAACATGGGGCCTGCCTTTGTAAAGTCCAGCAATGACCCTGAGCTAACTATTGACCACCCCTCCACTGTCCCCTCAGCACACTGAGTCCCTGACCCTGCTGGCAAGAGCCAGATGCCAGTCATCACGATGCTGGACTGGCGTTTTCTGTATAATGGAAACACGGGCTTCTGTACCTTAGGCCCCAAAACGGGGACATGAAAGCTACACACCAAGAGCTGTCTGTTTCCAGAAAAACGGGAGTGTTCTCCTCTGCCTCTGCAAGAAAATAAGATGCGAGCGCCTGTGTGCAGAGCTCACGCTGACGCGGAGGCAGGGAGAGAAGCCACAGTGTGTGTGCAAGACAGCGGAACAAACAGTGTCCTAAGAAACGTGTCTCTAATATGGGAGAAGTATCGGAGGGATGGCTTTTCTTCATAAAGACAGGTGTGATCAGTAAGGGATTTAGGCTTGCTGGTGATTACGGTACCAGCCCTCCTAGAGTGAGGCGCGTCGCACAGCGCACAGGATGTAGAACAAGGCAGGCGATGTGAGTCGCACGTGCCATGAGCATAGCTCCGCTCGTGGGCAGACACTGCTTTCCCTGGGGTTTCTCAGCCTGCGCCTGGAGGAGAGAGGGATCTTGTTATGACTTAAAACCAGCACTTCTGATTAAGGATTGTGGTTTCCCTTCTCCATCTCCCACGGGATTCACTCTGGAGTGGCTACTGCTGGGTAGTTAAGTTCCCGGAAATGTAGGAGGGGTGAAGCCTCTGGGCCCTGGGCTCTGGGCATCGGCCCTACCGCCAGTCAGCAGAGCTCGCCTCCCCCGTTCTGCAGAGCTGGCCCTGGGGCAGCTGGAGAGGCTGCCATTTCAACTGTTGGAAGTGATTTTAGTTCCTCTCTACAGCTGTTTCTGAGTGCTACTTGAACATTTGACTCCTTGGACTCAAATACAATCATTTATATTTAGTCCCACCACATTTTATCTTATTATAGTCAAGTCACCATAGAGTCTTTCTGGATACTAACCTTCATAGCTGTGTATTTCCCACCCCTGCCTAATCCATGAAGGAGAGTAGCCTGCAACCTCTGTTCTTCTACCAGCTGAACAAGCTACATGTTGAACAAGACAAGATGTTTCCACAGCTAAATTGCAACCCATTAAACATCATCCTTCAGATACAATCAGTCTTTTGCTGTAAGGAATCCTCTTTCCTGTACTAAGGAAGTGTCTGCTGAAGCAAAAGTTTTCTTGAAAATAGCAAATACCTCAGTCTGTATAATCTGTATTATAGGTTTAAAGGTATTTATCTTTCAAAGCTTTGAAAGATATTCATGGCCAAGGTCAAAAAAATTTACTCAACAAACATAACACAGTAGTCATCGGTGTTCTAGAGCCAAATGGTATTAGCAACAGGTGATTAGCATTGTTCACACCTGCTTAGGAGATGGCATGCGTCTGTTTTACTGAGTAGGAAAGCTTCAATATTTGGCTAGATTTTCCAAATGTTTTCTAGTTTAGCTTAAACCAGTGACTTTCAGAGATTAAACATGATGAAAATTATAACTTATATGGTATACTGAGGCCTACTTACTCAGATTTTTACCTAACTGGCTATATCATAAGCATAGAACTCATTTCAGAGCAGAACACAGAGGAACAAGTCTGGCTGTGCTGTTGTTAATGATTAAGACCTAGATTATTCCAGGTTCATCAGTTTTTTCAAAATTTTGGGGGGGAGGCAGGTAATGAGGTTTATTTATTTATTTTTAGAGGAGGTACTGGGGATTTAACTCAGGACCTCATGCATGCTAAGCATCTCTTCTACCACTGAGTTATACCCTCCCCCCTTATCAATTTTTAACATCTTTTTTTTTCTCAGTTTGGGGAAACATACCTCTAAATCCAATATATAAATCAAGCTATATCTGGAGTACAGGAAGAGGGCTTGAAGAAAATCCTTGTGACCAAAGAAAACAGTGACATTCCCACATTTTCAAAAGAATCTTAAATCACCAAAACATAGCTACATCTATAAAGACTTCTAAAGGGATTATTTTCAAAGCCCGGACACAGGAAAACCTCAGCACGGCGTCGGGGTGGGGAAGTCTCAACAGTTTCCTTGCAAGGCATTGCTCACTATTTTTTGGAGCTCTAATGAAAACTAGGTCCCACCCTGTGGCCTAGGAAAGGATTCTGAGATAATAAATATCAACGTGGCTTGGACTAGCTACCGAATAAGGAGAGTTTAAGGAGGACCCTGAGAACTAGTGTTCGTCAAGTTGGCCATCTCCCAAGAAACACAATTTTGTGCCCTGACCACTGAGTGGGAGGAATTTATTGACAATGAAATTCCTTAGCACCAAGCTGGAGTCAGAAAGTCTCATCTGCCTTCACTGAACAGAGAGCATTTTGCTTTAACGGATTTCATGACCTTCTTGGATTACAACCTTATTTTGGAAAACAGTAAAAAGATAGCAGTTTTCTTCACACAAGACCATGTAATTTACTCAGCACTTGCTTCATTCCATGCTTCTGAAAAGTAAATTCCACGGGAGGAGTTATGTGCTAATAAATTACATACTAAATGTCTCAATCAAATTTAATGTTTTCTAAAAAGTCTTCACACTGGAAACTCTGTACATGTAGACTTAAGACTCAGGCCCCGTACTCCTTTCTTGTGTAACACTGTCTTTCAACACATAAGGTTTGGTTATAAAAACATCTAGCATAGTTAAAGTTTTCTTGAAAATAGTAAACACCTCCAGTTGTGTAGTCTATTTCACAGATTCAAAGGCATTTGTCTTTCAAAGCTTTGAAGATATTCATAGCCAGGGTCCAAAAAACTACTCAGTAAACATAATACAACAGTCACCAATGTGCCAAACCCACGTGGTACTAGTAACAAGCGAGGTCAGGAAAGACCCTTGGAGTACAGGGGTAGGGAGGTGGGAATTGGGATGGGAGCTGTTATTGGTGATGCTTTATGTTTGAAAATACCAATAAATAATCTGGTAGCTTTTTTTTAATGCACTGTACCTTATGGTAAGTACAATACATTAAACTGGTGCTAACCTAGAGTTTTTTTTATAAAGAGCTTTAAAATAAGGGGCTTTTTTTTGGTCAAGGATTAGAAGAGCTAGATAGGTCCTTAAATATTTTGAAAATCCAGAACCAGACATATTGATCCATGATTAGGAATGGCCAACTTGATTTTTTTTTAATATTCTGTCAAGTTGTGGTAATCTCTTTCCACATAACCAAAGTTTCCTTGAACCAATTCTGTGGTTATGACATGGTAACACCAAAAACTGGTAGCCATAGTTGAACATGGTGCAGTTACAAACTTATATTATTCTAGACTAATCATCAGTTCTAGATTACTTTTAGAAATTGTCTACTGGGGAAGAAAATTACACAAAAAAATGCAAGAAAATTACTTGTATCTCACACTTGTTTGGGAGCATACGGACAATGTGCAGTCCTTTGAAATAACAATATTAGCAGTCCTATAAAACAGTCTCAATGTGGAAGGCAACCTGACTCCAAAGGAAAAGCCACTTAAATTATTAGTTATATTCCAGGCTAATTGGATAGTCGTAGTTTAGTAGATATGAAGCCAAACATATTAAAGGCTCTGCCTTAACTAACACTCAGCAATAGTCTCATTTGTTTGGGGCTGTAGTTCTTTCAAATTAATCAGCTGGTCTCCTCACAGTTTTACTGCGTTCAAATATTATGGACATGTAAACAGTAAAATCTTCAAGCAAGACAAGTTTTGACTTCTGGTCTCCAGGGCTGACAAAATCTAAACCAACTCATCTAAAAGAGCATAGGGTACATTTCTCAATGACAGGTTTCCCATTACGGCTTGTTCCTAACTGGACCGCTGCGCATGCTGAATGGGTACAACGTTTGCAACCACTTATCACGTTGGGGGCAAGCGATGCTAACACTGCTGACGGTTCTGCTCTCGGACGAGGGCGTGCTTTCTGTTGCATGCGTTACACTGACCCTGTACTTTCTTTCCTTTCCTTTGTTTCCTGTGCCATGCTTGCTGTGTAGCAAATGGAATCTCTTGCAGTAAGTTAACTTTCTTTCATATTCTTTGTCCACTTAGGCATGGACCCATAACAAATCTTATTTTTACTGTTACTGTTAAATCTCTTAGCGTGCTTTTCCCTTTTTCATTTCCTTTTATTTGGTAGGCCTGAGACATGTAGTTTATTAGCATTCTGGGCTACCTTCCTCCCAAAGTAGAAACCTGTGTTGCTATGGACTCCCATGCTATCAGGGGAATATTTGTAGTAATAATGACCATTGTCTGACACTTAGGAAAGTCAATTTCATAGCTAGGTTTCACCCTAAATTGTGAAAGGTAATATTTTGTTTTTAAACAATCCTTTTTTTTATCTGCAAGTCTCTGGAAGCTGTCTTTTACTCCAGATTTGGAAAGCTTTCTATAGAGAAAAGTCTAAGTGATCATCAAATAAAATATTTTACTGAAATAACCAAAGATCTGGTTCGGGTTAACGAGTGAGTGTAGCTACTTCTTTAAACTTAGGCTGGATACTGGCATTGAGATATCAAATAAATCTGAGCAGAATTGTTTTTTCTCCTACGGGCCAGGGAGAGAGGAGAAAGAAGACCTCATTCAGCAGTCTTAGCATGAACTTGAGTAACTTGTAAAACTTAGGCTCAAAAGTATGTTAATACTGCTAAGCAGACTATTCTTCCTAAAACCCGAATTTACGTTCTTGTCATTTCTCTCTGTAAACTGATTTTAGAGGGAACCATTTTAAGTCACTTCAGCAGCTCTCAGTTCTGAGCTGAGTTCTTTTCAGTCCATGAGTAAACTGAAAGGCCCTGTTTATTCTCACTTGACCACATTTGAAAACTGAGCAGTCATGCGTTTGGCTTAAGCCACGTATTTAACTCGCTTTCAGTGGTGACGTGGAGCCCTGAAATTCTACCTGCGAAGGCTGTCCTCTTCCTTTCACGGAGTCCCATCCACTACCTTGAAGCTAAGCCATTCCTGCGATAAAATAGGCAAAGTTTAGAGGCCATTATAAGCAGATGAGCTCAGAGAGTCGTGTGATCATTGGTGCTGGAGTTACTCGTGGTTTATTCTTTCCTCTGTGTAATGAAAACGTTTTAAACTCCAAAGGTGTCTACAGGGCTCGAGGGCCATTTTGTATAATGTTCTTTCCACAGAAAGTTTTGTTTGCTTTCATAATTTCTCCTTTTTGTAAGCACTTTGGGCCCTTTTTATCTAATTCGACAAATACTTATTGGGCACCGAGTAGAAGCATCATCAGTAAAACTGATGCAGGGCCTCAGAGGATCACGTGACTCTGGTGTTTGCACAGATTTTAGGATCACTGCCTACATCCTAAGCGGCGGCCAGAATTGTCACAAGGAGTAATCTTCCAAGCGTCTGCTGAACTTACAAATTTAACACCTAGAACCACTTAATGCTGTATCTTTCAAATATACTTTAAAAAAAAGAATTTTTTTAAAAACATGTAGTTTATAAAAATTAAGACAACCACAGCTATAACTTGTAGAGATTTAATTGGCAAATATCATGGAAACTTGGCAGTTCACTAAGTCCCTTTGTAGCCACTCCTTTTTAATTAGTCACCTTCCAGGGGCTGTTTTATTCTGTATGATACAGTGATTTTTCTCAGATATTTACTAATTGGGTTTTGTTTGTTTTATTTGGGATGGTAACAGCTGGTTATGTTTCCTTGATGAAAAAAGAAGTGTTAGCCTCCACCAAGATTTCACTTATTATACAGGAATGATCTTTAGTAACTATGTCTTCCCGTGCAAATTCTCTCTTTAGCAATTGGAACTGTGTCAGAGATTGTATAAGCTACACTTCCAGCTGCTGCTGCTTTTTCAGTCCTACTGTAAGCTCATCGGCCAGGTGCACGAGGTCAGCTCCATGCCAGAGGTGAGCCCGCCCCTCCCGCCCCAGGTGCTGCTATGAAAATCATTCCTTTCCTTTTGTTCTCCCCTCACCAGTTTATAAAATGTCCAAGTGATTTTACTCCCCCATAATTATCTCACTCAAGCGCAAGTCTCAGGTACAAGTGTCCTGTATTTCTATCCGTGCTGGTCGGCAGTGCCCGCAGGACAAGGCGGGAGGCAGGTGCCGTGCGTGGACGTAACACATAAGGACAGCCCTGAGGGTGAGCGCCTCCCTCAACGCTGTGCCGAGGGGCCTCACTTGCCTCCCCGTGGCCCTGGCCCTGTGTCTAGGGATCCTTAATTGAAAAAGTTCCTCATGTTACGATTTTTCTTATCTATAGCTTTTCATACTTGTTCCTACATTGAGATAAGAAGAAAATAATTAGGTGATGTTTGATCCTCTTCAGCTTCCCTGCCCTGCTTAGAATTGGGCTGCGTTAATATTTTTAAATGTGAAAGGCAAAATAACTTAAGTGTACTGCTTCTGAGCAAGCCAAAATTTTCCTAGACCTGGAAGAAATACCACTGCAGTGTAGTAGGTGTACATTGGAAACTACGGAAGCGCAGAGGGTGACTGCCTGGTTCACCTGGAGGCCGGGAGGCTGAAAGAGGAGCCTTTCAGGGGGAAATCACAGCAGAGCCACTTCTTACAGGATGAGTTGGAGTTAGACAAAGTGGGAGCTGAGAAGCAACATTCCAATAAGAGCAAACAGCGTAGTAAGAAAGAGGAAGGAACTACAGAGCAGGCAGTTTAATGCTGCTAGACTACAAGGAGCAAACGGAGTGAGGCGGAAGAGATAAGTGAGGATGAGATCATGGAAGACATTTGCCTGGGAGTATTTTAGTTAGATCTTTACAGCAAGGAGGTGGAGGGTGGACTTGATGACAAGCAGGTTGGAGACAAGAGACCAGTTACGAGGCTGCTGAAATAGCTCAGATGGAGAAGAGAGTCTGAATTAGGACCAAAGTGTTTTGTATGAGAAGAGGGAGGAAATGTGGGAACTATTTTACGACAAAAGGTCAATGATAACGGTTGGGTGGGGGCTGAGGGAGAGGGAGGAGTCGAGGACAATTCTAGGTTCCATCTCAGATGAACTAGGTGACTGACCGACGGAGCCACAGCAGAGACAGGGAGAGAGCAGGAGGGCCGAGGCGACTGTACGTCCCATCGGTCAAGCCTCCCCGCTGCTGGTCAGTGACCGGGTCTGCCTGCAAGACCACACAGGTGTGACGGCATCTTGCAGGTAGTTAAATACGAGGACCTGCAGCTGAAGGTGCAGATGTGGTAACTGTCAGGGAACAGCCATGAGTCCATGAAACAGTCCCACCCTGAACAGCAGGGTGAGGATGGAGCCCAGGAAATCTTGCGTCTTGATAGAGGAGGAGGAGACAGAATGACAACCATGTTACCACGTTTACCACTCAGCTTGGAAAAAAAAAGAAAGTGTACAGCTGACCCTTGAACAGCACGAGTTTAAACTTAGCGGGTCCACTTTAATGAGGTTTTTTTTTTAAATATATGGGAAATCTTTTTAGAGATTTGTGACAATTTGAAAAAACTCATAAACTGCATAAGCCTAGAAATAATGAAAAACTGAGAAGTTATGTCATGAATACCTAAAATACGTAGATGTACGTACAACACATAAAAATATATGTTCATCGGCTGTTTATGTTATTGATAAGGCTTCTAGTCAACAGTAGGCTATTAGTAAAGTTCTGGGGGAGTCCAAAGTTATACGGCACCCTAACCGCACGTTGTTCAAGGGTCAGCTGTGCTTCCACAAATGCCTAATTTCAAGGGAAGAGGAGAAGACAGCTTGCTTTACAAAGAGCTCTTCACAGACCACAAGTTATCAGATAAAAGCCATGATGACTGCTATCTGCCCCACTATCAAGACTGTACTCTTACTGTCCCAGCAAATATGAACAGGGTCCTCAGAGTCCATCTTTGCTCAAAAAACAGAGGACATACAAGTGCAACTCACATGTCACTTTCCACACTGAAAAAGTCATTCAAGCGTCACTCCAGAGTAGTAAATTACATGCTATATACTGTGTGTTTATATACGTATGCAATTATTTTAAATCTAATAAATTTAAAGTGAGTTTCTCCTTTATTTTAAATCTAGAGAAGTTTTAAATACTATACACACGCATACAGTATTTAAAACTTGCCTAGATTTAAAATAAATTCACTTTTTCAAACTTAAAAATTGTATACCTAGAATACTCTAATAACTTATAGGAAAGAATCGCCTCATTAAATTTTACACCTAGTTCCGGAATAGATCGTTGTATCTACAGGCATCTGTGTGAAGGCGGATAGTCCTTGAGGGCTCAGTTCTATAGCTTGTACAACAAGCTGGGAATGAAGATGAAGATGTTGGCTAAAGCAACTTCCTAAAGAAAATGGGCATTCTCAGCTTGCATTACAAAGTGAAAGGGGAAAAAAAACCTTTAAATTCACATCAGGTTTTGTTTTTTTTTAATGCTCTTAGGGTCAAACTGCACAACAGTCGTCTTCCACGGTACACTTTGGGGGCCCTAAGGAGTCACAGAGGTGCTCCCTCACCATTTACTTTCTAGCAACTCTGGATCTTTGGGTTCCAGTAATTCTGAGGGAAAACGTCTTTTACCTCTGTAATATGAATACTAACATTACATTGAGATTTTTCCTTCTCTCCCTTAAAATTATGTCTATTTCTATGCCATAGGTAAAGATTAGTCAGATTTATTGTTCACACAGGTTCCGTGTTCTTGATTACATGTACTGAGCACTTAGGTGCCAAACTATTTGTTTAATCTTTAAAATAACTTTGTGAGGTGGATAATCCCTTCTGTCTCACAGATGCAAAAACTGAGGCACATAAAAGTCTGTTTCCTTGACTATGCCATAGTCAACAGTGCAGAACTGCCACCTGAACTCAGCTCTGCCCAACTCCCAAGCCTGTTTTCTTGTGCATTTTACTTCTACGTGTGCCCTTCTATCTAAATAGAAACCATTTTAAAGAGACTATCTTTTATATGAGGAGAGCATCCCAGCTGCTGATACATAGTTACTCCGTGCCTGCGGCCCCAGAACGCTACATACACCATGCAGTACTTTCATTTGTCCTTTTAGTTTACCAAGATATTAAGCTCATGATTAACTAGATCTCTTATAGTCATTTTTTTCCCTTGGGGGATATAAAATCCAGCCTGCAACTAAACACAGGAAAAATAACATTTTTTTTAAACAGCTGCTAAATATGTCCAGGGAACTGAGTGACCTAAAGAAAAACCTGAAGGAGGCCACTGCAGCCATCGCTGCTGACCCTCTCTACATAGAGGGGGCGTGGTCTGAGCCAACCTTCACGTCCACCGAAGCAGCCATCCAGTCCATGCTCGAGTGCTTGAAGAACAACGAACTTGGCAAGGCTTTACGGCAAATCAGGGAATGCAGGTAACTCTACTGTTTCTATTTAGAGATGGTTAAAGGAAATGTGTGCTTAATAGCTGCCCTGTTGTGGAAGGAAAGTCTAGGCCTCTACCATCACCATGCGAGAAACATCAGAATTCAGAACTTAGCGCTTACAGTATTGGTGTTGGTTATGTTCATTTGTTATCCTTAAAATGTTGAAACACTTCCAAGTGTACACCACCATAATTTTAAAACTAATTATTTGAATGTACCTCTTTGGGTTTTCCCCTCTACATTATGATAGTGTATTCACATTCATTGGAACCAGAATGCTATAGCAAATAAATGTTTTAAAGATTATCAGATTTCATTCTTATATTTTTATATTTTAGGTATTTTTATCAAATCTAATAATATTCAGTATTCTAAAACTGATTACAGTGATGTTTGCACAACTCTGATTATACTTAAAAAGCCACAGAATTGTATGCTTTAGACAGTTGAATTGTATGTGAATTACACCTCAATAAAAGCTTTTATTAAAAGTAATTTTCTTACACTAATAAAGACTCTTAACTTGTCAACCTTGTGACCAATAGTGCCTCTCATCTCTGCTTCTCTTTCCTGACTGCAGAAGTCTGTGGCCCAATGACATCTTTGGAAGCAGCTCTGACGACGAGGTCCAGACACTACTGAATATTTACTTCCGTCATCAAACTCTAGGACAAACAGGCACTTATGCCCTGGTGGGGTCTAACCAGAGCCTGACGGAAATCTGCACCAAGCTGATGGAGCTGAACATGGAGATCCGGGACATGATCCGCAGGGCCCAGAGCTACCGGGTCCTCACTGCTTTCCTCCCAGACTCCAGCGTTTCCGGCACTAGTCTCTGACAGGAGCCTCCCGGCCCCCGTGGGCGCCAGGCTGGGGGTGCTGCCGCGCTGGGGTGACCTCGTTCAGTGTCTTCTCAGCCTTCAGAAGGCTTGGTCAGACTGTTCTCCCTCTTGTTACCTGCAGGACTTTCTCTAAAGAGGACGGCAGGACTTCCCACGTGTAGCAATGCTATCAGAACCAAGGCAGCACAGGCCGTCCTGGGACAGGCTCCAGCCGTCACGCTGTGCAGCACACACGTGTCACCATTTTACTGAGCAAACGCAACTCACTACTGAAGACGTGACGTCCACTGCATACCAAAGCCGACTGCTCTGAACAATACCTTCCTTTCTAGAAACAGTTTTAGATTGGCAGAAGTGCAATGTTTTCTTCACTAAAAAGTATTTTATATTCTGCAACTTGTACATTCTTTCCCTTTCTTTTTCTTTTTCTTTTTTTTTCTGGGTGAATTGAGGAAGGGGCAGGCAGAATGAAGCTGGCCACTGAAAACTGTATAACGGTCAAAAGCTGACAGCCTGTATGTGTGAAAAGGGAATTGTAAATGGACAAATTTAATGTACACTGAAATTTGAATACAATTACTGTATCTAAAAGGAGCTGCTATGAAGTACCTTTCTTATGTTGCTAGGCTACTGTCTCTGAAAGCCCTGGATCTCTCTGCAGGGGTCTGTGATTAGGACCCTCACACCAAAAATGGTCCACACAGACCCTTTTTTTTTAAGGATCCTGGCTGCTTTTTACTAGAAGGTTGCTTTTATGAGCATATTTATACTATAGGAGAATGAGTGTTAATTTTAACCAACTTTGCCATTTTGTAGAAAAAAGTTAAAGATATTTACACTCTAAATTCCAAGTCTTTCCACCTGTCACGCATGCATATTTTAGTATCCATTTGGATAATCGGAAGTAGAATCATAAAGGTAAAATATGAGTTGTCACTTTGTTTCTTAAGAAATGTCATTTTATTTGTAATATAAATGTAAAGGGCCACCCTTAAGTTTTCTCCTTAAACTTAATGCTGTCCCGTGTTAGCTACGTGCATGTAAAGCTGTTGCACATATTCAGAAACATAGTCAAAGTTTATCTATGTAACTTATTCACTCTGTAAATACAGTTAAAGTTTTTGTGATGTAATCTTGGTTGATATTCTGTTCAGAACTTCCTTTAGACTAAAAAAGAAAAAATACATATTGACCATGGGTTTTGTTTCTGGTTAATGAAGATTTCTGCCTTTGACACATTTATGGTTTTGCATGTGGATCACCACAGTGACAGCCCCAAACGGTGCCACGCTCATGCCTATTCCGTGAATGCCACCACTGGGGCTTGCTAGCACAGTGACCCTGGGAAGCAGGAAGACTCTAGAACCTCTTTGGAAGTGGACACCAAAGATGGTGACTTTCAACCATCTTTCATGGAGCAGTCAGCAAAGAACCAGAGCTCTGACTATCCACAGCCTATCATGAGGTTGTCATCCTTACAATTTTGAAAAAGACCCAGAATGAGCAGGAAGAAGTAGGAGGAGTTTTAATTCTCTCACCGACACCCATCTATCCCTCACCCCACTCGAAAAATAGGGGCATGGAGACACACAACCATCTAATTTCTACTGGCTTCTTACTCACAGTTCTTAGACTAACAAATATAACTTGCTTTCCTAACATACAACCAAATCATAAATGGTAATTTTCTAGAAGGATCCTACAACAGAGTCTGACCCAAGAGTGTTTTTTAATGTTACAATAGATACAACTATTAACTGACTTCAATGACTTTCTGGAGATTGCTGTCAACACATTCTGCTGGTGATTTATTTTTTTCAACTTAGCTGAAAACTGATTTGCCACAAATTTAAGAAAAAAAACTGAATCACGAGCTCTCTGAAAAAAAATCTCATTAAATACTACCAACCCTAGCCAACTCTCAGAGTTCTGCTGGGACCCACAGTAGAAAGGACTAACCAATCATGACTTAACTTTCCACAATGGCCTCTAACCCAGCAAAGAATCACTGTAACGGCGTACTCTTAAAAAAAAAAAAAAAAGAACAGTAGGGGAGGATTTCATGCCATAGCTCATACTGTCCAAAGGTGCTTTAAAAATACTCAGCTGGAGAGGGCCATGATAGTGGAGTAGAAGGATGCTCATAGCTCACCCTCTCCCACGAATACATGAAGACTGACATCCACAGACCCACCCATCCAATCAGAACACCTGCTGAACTTCGGCAGAACATCGCCTTCTTCAAAAGACAAAATACGCAATCTAGTAGGAGAAAAGGAAAAAAAGGAAAAAGCAAAATAGTGCAGGACCAGTCCCACGGGGAGGGAGAGGCAAAGGAGGAATAGCGCTCGTACACTGGAATCTCCCCCTCTCCAACAGAGAGGTCAGTGGGACGGAGGAGGAACCTCCAAGGCTCCAATCTGTACTGAATAGCCCTTGACTGACAGAACCAAGTTAAACGGGCACAAAGGGTCCCTGTGACCCCCAACCCTAGACTTGAATCAGTAGGGGTGGGACTGGACAGGCTGCCCAAGCCAGGCCGACTGCAGAGGCAACCTTGGGGGACTGCAGTGTGCTGTGTGCCATTGCTGGGAGGGTAGACAGATCAGAATAGCCTGGGCCCCCATAAAATACAAAAAAAAAAAAAAGAGCAAAAACTGCTGGTGTGCCCTGGGGGGAGGAGCACCATAGCCTTTGTCCCCACAGACCCGCAGCACCATCACTGCAAAAGAGAGGCGAGGCTCAGCCACAGCCACCACATTCTCAGTTGTGGGTGCCCAGGCGGAGGCAGGGTGGAAGCCTGAATCCTTACCTACGGGTTCCACAACCTCATAGATGAGACTGACATTTCTTTACAGCCCCAGGCAGAGGGGAATGTTGTGAACTCATGCCTCTAAGACAAACGAACAAGGAGCAGAGTTCTGGCACAGAGCAGGGGCGAGGGCTGCTACCACCCTCTTCTCCAAGCCTGCCTACCCAGCGCAGACCCCACGTGGCACAGGGAGTGGCACTGAATGGGGTGAAACCTGAGGGCCTCTGGAGCCAGTGAGTGGAGTTCGCACAGCAGGGCAAGGGCAAGGGCAGGAGCGGTGACAACCACAGAACAAAAAGGAGGCCCTGATCAGTAGCCAGGCAGGCTCTCACTACCAAAGGTCACACGCCTAACCAAAGGGATAACAGGCAAAAGGCACGGAAGGAAGACTTGGCAACCACCCATACTTAAGAAGGACCTCTCGACAAAATTATTAAGAGCACACAGTCTCCACAGGAAAATACCCACTTTTGTTTCTTTTCCTTTTTTAATTTTTTTAATTTTTAATTTTTTAATCCCTTTCAAAATTTTCTTTAAACTTTTTATTTTTTAAAAAATTTGTCTCAATTTGATTTTAATTACTCTTTGTTTTGTTGTTATTTATTATACTGCTTTCAAATAGTTTTTCTTCTTTAAAATTTTTCTTTTAATTTGTCTTAACTTGATTTTTATTTCTCCTCATTTTGTTCTTCTCTGATTGATTATACCCTGTTTTCAAATCTTTTTTTCTTCTTTTAAACTTTTTTTTTTAGTTTTATTTCCACATCCACTTTAGATAAATAAACAAATAAATAAATAAACCCTTTCAGGACCACAGTAGATAACTGATATTCCATAATCCATAGGGCCAGAGAGATATAAGTAAAATGAAGAAGCAGAGGAACCAATCCCAATTAAAAGAAAAAGAGAAATCCCCTGAAAGAACAATCAATGAAATAGACCTTAATAGTCTACTAGATCATGATTTCAAAAAAGGAGTGATCAAAGTACTGAAGGAACTAAGAGAGACTGAATAGAGACAGAATATGTCAAAAAGGAAACTGAAACTATAAAAAGGAGCCAATTAAAATTGGAAAACTTATTTGCTGAGAGGAGAGCTGAGCTAAAGTCTGTAAAAAGTAGGCTAGATAATGCAGAGGAACGAATGAGTGACTTAGAAGACAGGATAACAGAAATCACCCAATCAGAACAGCTGAAAGAAAAACAAATGAAAACAATAAAAGGGATCTATGGGATACTATAAAGCAACCAACCTCTGCATAATAGGGGTCCCAGAAGGAGAAGAAAGAGCAAAGGGGATTGAAAAGGTATTTGAAGAAGCCATGATTGAAAACTTCCAAAACCTAAAGAAGGAAACAGACACCAAGTACAGGAAGCACAGAGGGTCCCAAACAAGAACTCAAACAGACCCACACCAAGACATATTGTAATCAGAATGGCCAGGGTTAGGAATAAAGAAATAATTCTAAAGTTAGCAAGAGAAAAACAAAGAGTTACCAGGGAACCCCCATAAGGCTTTCAGTTCATTTCTCTACATGAACACTGCAGGCCAGAAGGGAGTGGCAAGATATATTTAAAGCCTTGAATGAGAAGAAGATGCAACCTATGATACTTTATCCAGCAAAGCTATCCTTTAGAATAGAAGGAGAGATAAAGAACTTCACAGGCAAGCAAAAACTAAAAGAATTCAGCAACACTAAACCTATGCTAAAAGATATATTGAAAAATCTACTCTACATAGAAAAGAAGCAGGATGCTACAGAAAGGAGAAAACCATAATTGGAATGTGATAACAATAATGAATTACAACAGAATAAACATGAAATTGTAAAAGATGGCATTTAAATCATTAAGAGTGGGAGAGGGGAGCAAGAAAATACAGTTTTCTTCTTTTTCATTTTCTTTTTTTGTTCTTAATAGGATGGGTTTGAGCTTATATTACTGTTTAAAACAAACAGATATAGTAATGGGTTAGTATACATATAAAATAAGGTAACCACAAGCCAAAAGATTACAATAGAGTCACAAAAACTAAAAAGAAACCAAGACAATACAAAGGAAAATTATCAAACCACAAAAAGAAAAAGGAAAAAAGAGGAAATACCAAACAAATCAACTGCAAAACTAAGTTCAAAATGGCAATAAACACACATGTTCAATAATTACCATAAATGTCAGTAGACTAAATACTCCAATCAAAAGACACAGAATGGCAGACTGGATAATAAAACAAGAACCTACAATATGCTGCATACAAGAGACCCACTTTAGGGAGAAAGACATACAGGTGAGAGTGAGAGGATGGAAAAAGATATTTCATGGAAATGGAAATGACAAGAAAGCAGGAGTAGCAATACTGATCTCAGACAAAATAGACTTTAAAACAAAGGCCAAAGAGAAAGATAAAGAAGGACATTATGTAATGATTAAAGGAGCAATACAAGATGAGGATATTACAACCATTAACACATATGCACCCAATATGGAAGTACCTAAATACATAAAGCAAATACTAACAGATATAAATGGAGAAACTGATGGGAACACAATCATAGTAGAAGATTTTAACACCCCATTAACATCACTGGAAAGATCTTCCACACAGAAAATTAATAAAGCAACAGAGAAATTAAATGATACAATAGAACAATTAGACTTGGTTGATATTTTCAGAACATTACATCCCCTAAAAATAGAACATATATTCTTTTGTGAACGTGTAACATTTTCTAGGGTAGATCATGTTTGGGCACAAAAGAAGCCTCAACAAATTTAAGAGGATAGAAATTATTTCAAGCATTTTTTCTGATCACAATGCCATGAAACTAGAAATCAACTACAGAAAAACAACGAATGACAGCATGGATATTAAACAACATGCTACTAAAAAACCAATGGGTCAATGATGAAATCAAAGAAGAAATTAAAAAATAATTTGAGACAAATGACAATGAAAAAACCACCACACAAAATCTATGGGATGCAGCAAAAGCAGTCCTAAGAGGGAAGTTTAGTGATAGAGGCCTTCATCAAAAAAGAACAATCTCAAATAAATAATCTAAACTACCTGATAAAAGAATTAGAAGAAGAGCAGCAAACAAAACCAAAAATCAGCAGAAGGAAGGAAATAATAAAGATCAGGAAAGAAAGAAATAGAGTTTTTTAAAAAAGAGAAAAACAACACCTATTTATGATAAAAACTCTCACCAAAGTGGGTATAGAGGGAACATATCTCAACATAATAAAAGCTATGTATGACAAACCTACAGCCAGCATAGTACTCAATGGTGAAAAACTCAAAAGCTTCGCACTAAAATCTGGGACAAGACAAGGATGCCCACTATCACCGCTCCTATTCAACATAGACTTGCAAGTCCTAGCCACA